TATATATATATATATATATATATATAGTGTATATATATATATATATATATATATATATATATATATATATATATATATATATATATACACTGTATTATTATTGCTATTTGATTGTCCTGAAATAACACCTTATTTCCAATCACTTCAGCATAAATGCATAAATCTATTGGCAGAGACAGACTGCTTTATAGACCGTGATCTTTAACCCCTGCATTCCTCACGCTCCATAAACACAAGAACATCAGATAAGAGCAATATACATGTTCATCACAACACTGTAAACAACAGAGACAGGACGAAGAGAGACAGCGTGAGCCCTAGTCAAATAAATAAATCATAATTAAAAAAAAAACTCCTTGACATACACCACAGCCACATTTCACCCAACTGAGAACTGCATGTCAGAAAAGATCGAACTTGTTTTATGTGCATTTTTGGAATCCTAGAAGAAAAATAAAAATCCCCATTCGGATTTTGGACTAGAGAACACACTGTAAAAAATGACCGTGAATTTAACGGTAAAAGACTGTAAAAATGCTACAGTAAAAACCTGCTAAATGGTTAACGGTAAATTCCCCTACTATATACGGTGAAAAACTGTATTGGACATTACATGTATTTGACATAAATTTTACGGTAGCATACCATTTTTGGAAGTGAAAAATACTGTATAATTTACAGTTAATAACCGTAAATTGACATTCCCAGAATTCCCTGCGTTACATTTCAAATTTGATGTTTTTTTGTTGAAATAACTATGTTTCTTCTTAGTTTTTTCTTATCAGTTTTGTATATTAGGGTTGTGTGTTACACCTAATGTTGTTAAATGAATGTTTATTGCATTATTTCAGTATAGTGTGTTACCATGATGGTGTTTAGCGTTTGTGTGAATGACACTGTGCACCTTCTATATATGTTATTATCTAAAAGCTGCTTGTGATGAGCTTTGGTTCATCATGTGACTTTCTCATCACCTCCTGCATTTGGTGGTTATCAGTGTATTACAAAGCTACAAAACAGATTTCAGTACTTCAATAGGTTGCTATATTAACATTATATCAGTTAATGAAATTACAGTATTTAACTGTAAATTTTTTGTTAAAACCATAAAACCTAAAACGTTGCTACCGTATTTTTTACGGTAAAATTCCGGCAACCACAGCTGCAGTTTTTTAACCGTAAATTTTACTGTTTTTTTTTTTAAAAGTGTAGGCATATGCGAGATCGTATACCATGCCGGGGATGTTGGCACCATATCCATTTTGAGGGCTGTGATTTTGGGCATCCCACGTGTCCATTGGAGTTTCCATCACCGCACCACCTTCAACCCGGCCACAGCCTCCCAGTCCATTACACAGCCTTTTCTGTGAAGTTCAAAAAGATTAACATGCATTAAACTATTTATAGCTTGATTATGCAAGAAGACGCCAGTGGAAGCAAATGTGGCTGTCATGCCATGGTGCACTCTGTTTCTATAAATCATAACAGCTATTTCCAGTGATGATCAGATGGGTTTATATATATGCACTAATAATAACTCATAACTCTTTTTGTAAAGGGCAACAGCCAGTGCAAATGCCACAGAAGGTCAAACAAATGCTATCAAAAGCAAACATACTAATGCATATTTAGCATGTTTTAACGCATTAATCAGGATATAGTAAATACAATTAAGTCCATTTAAGTTACCGACTGGTTGTGCCGCTGTTCCAGCTCTCCACTATGTCTTCTCTTATTCTGCATGGGATTTATGCAATCCATTGGTTATTTTACAGTCCTGAAGCCTGCAGAGCTTCACTTTAATTCTTGAACACTTGATGAATTAATGCAATCCGCCTTAAACTCCCATATGGATCAATATGCAAAGTCAAAACCCCATTGTATTAAGCAGTCAAAGGCGGGCACTTCTATCCACTGACCACTGAGATGTCTGTACAAGTATTATAAAAAATAAAACAAATAGACAATAATTCTAAACATGCCCGTTTTGACAAACAAAACAAAGCCGCAGTATTCCCGTGCGACTCTTCATGCCCTGCTTTTATTCCGTGTTATAAGTTCCTGTATCTTTCAAGATGAGTGACAGTTTCCCCCAACCAATCAGTGAACAGTACGGGCTAACGGAGGCGGGGTTACGTCAAATAGAGCATTATTATTTGAAGAGAGACCACTGAGCGCGAATGAGTCAGCCAATGTAATTTAAAGGAATAGTTCACCTCAAAATAAAAATGTATAATTTGCTCTCAGTATCACCCTTGTTGTACTTTTTACAACACTTGGAATTGTTAACCCAAGGTCATTCTTAACCGTACTGGTTATCTTGTTGCATGTTTCACAACACATTCGTAATACTTTTACAATGTTCATTTGTAAATTTAAAGTGTACACTGTAAAACTTTCCCCTGTAAATTTACAGTAAAATACTGGCAGCTGGGTTGCCAGACACATTCTGTATTTTTACAGAACCACAACTGTAAACAACATTTACAGTATTGTACTGTAATTGCCAGATACAGTATCTTGCTGTATTTTTATTTATTTTTTACAGTGTGTACTGTAAAACGTTTCCCTGTAAATGCATAATTATAAATTGTTTATAAATTGTAAATTATAATTATTAAAGTGAATGGGGACTGAGAAGTTACAAAATGACACAAAACTATCATACGATAGTAGTCCGTATCTGACTTTGTGCAATAATTCTAAGTAATAATACTACTAATAATAATACTAATAGCTGTTTCACCTGTTTCACTTCTGTTTCAGGTTTTATAACCGTTTCTTACTATGTGTCAGTAAGTTGGTGTATTTTAGCATGTGTGTTTGGCAGTGTTATTTTTTAGGATTACTGATAAACTACTGCCGTTTGATTTGTATTATTTGTATTTGTTATTTATTTTAATTTTAGTTAAATTATGTCTGAATTTATTATGTCTGTATAGGTCTTTTATTAAGTTTTTCTTGTATTTAATTTTAGTTATTTTAATACTTCAACAAACTAAATGGAAATGAAATAATACATATATTAAATTGATAAATGTGTGTATATATATATATATATATATATATTTTTTTTTTTTTTGAAGTGTCGAATAAATGACTAAATACATAAAATAAAATAATACAAATATTCAAACGAAAGATACAGCGCAGGATAGATGTAAGTACTAATTCAGGTTATTTGTTGCCACACACTGTAAAATGCACCTCTGAAAGATGGAAAAAAAGCGGAAAAGGTGGCTTAAAACGTAATATGTTGTGTATATAATTCAAATGTTTACATGTTTAAACAACGTTAGTGTTCGATGTTATCGTATATTGTTTAGTAATGCTTTGCTTCAGTACAGTGTCCTGATGGAGTGTTCGATGATCGCTTGGTAATGTCTGGCAGCATGGCGAACCTCACGGATGCGACATCACTGCAGCAGTTTGAGGAATTATTAAAAAATAACAGCAAGTAAGTGAATAATTCATTATTTGTCACGAAATACAATTAATTTCAAACAGACATTTAACACATATGCGCGGGAATAAATCGTTTATAGACTTTGTTTTGATCGAATAGAGTGACATAAACGATGGCCTGTACAGATAAACCCAGATAAATGTGATGCAAATCTATATCAACGAAGCATATTTAGATGACTTGATTTTGGTAGATTGTTTTAATGCTGCATTTAATTTCAGCTGTCTTTAATATCCTCGTTGCAAGTCTGCTCTTATCATTATTATGAATATTATTTGTCTTTCCTCATAATCAGACCTCTTTAGGCTGACTTTATGGTAGACACTGTGTACAATGAATCCTTCTGGACTTGATAGTCAATGTCAGTCAGTGCCCCTCATGTCAAAACTGAACTTGAGTGAGAATTTGACAATTTTTTTCAGCAAATAGTATGACTTTATTAATAATCACAGACCTACTATGCCTTTACTAGTCTACATCAACACCCGTCCCCAGTATGCTTCCACACTTTCAGTTTGGTTCTTCATTGAATACTGGTAAAGCCTGTTTATCTGGTATCATTGCAGAGGAGACTTAATGCAGTTATGAGCAGACAAATAATTAGATAATTAAATGATTCACTGTTGCAGTCTAGTGTTCATGATCTGAGCTGGTCTCAGTAAAGGAGTATGTTCAAACCTTAAAGGGATAGTTCATCCAAAAATGAAAATGTGATGTTTATCTGCTTACCCCCAGGGCATCCAAGATGTACGTGACTTTGTTTCTTCAGTAGAACACATATGATGATTTTTAACGTTTACCGTTGCAGTCTAGTGTTCAAACATGAAGTCTCATCTTTGTGTGAAGCACAACCCATAAATGCTCCTGATAAGTCTGCTTTAAGGCACTTTGGTTAAAAGCATAAGCTAAAAGATAATTTAGAAGTTATTCTTGTTTCTTTGATTGGTAATTACTTCTGTGGTATTTTTTTGTTCATTGTCTTTAATGTCATGTCAGATGATTAAAAAAAATGTAATTTTATCTACATTACAGTCTAGATTCACATTTAAATGAAACCTGTAACTCGGATCTACATGGATTTGCTTTAAATGTGTATTTCCCCAAGACAATCCTCCCTAACTCTGGATCTCAGAGTCTGTGAAAGCTCATCATTCCTACTCTGTCTTGTTCAGGTCCCTCACCGTTGTCCATTTCCATGCGCCATGGGCTCCGCAGTGTTCACAGATGAACGAAGTGATGGCAGAATTAGCCAAAGAGCACAAACACACCATGTTTGTGAAGGTAGGAGGACCACTGCCCCTCACAGCCATACTGGAAATCATTTCACCAATAACATTCATGCTTAATTTGTGCAAATTGTGGGTAAATGTCATTGTGACGTAGTTTCTGTATCTTTAGAAGAATTGGTTAAAAAGAAGGCTTGTTTCCAAAGAAGTTTCCCAAAGAATCCAATAGCCCCAAATCACACCAGTGGCTGCCCAGAAATGTACATATCTAGCTGAAACCAACTGTGTTTTGAATATAATATTTAGTTTCTCATTGCAAAGTAATTATTATTATTATTATTGATATCTGGCCAGTTTGCAGAAAGGCAAAGGACAGAAGTATTTGAATGAATTTATGATGGGTATATATATATACAGTGGGTACGGAAAGTATTCAGAAGTATTCATGGCCTTGTTTAGGGATCTGTGCCTTTGTGCATACGGACATCTGACTGCTGAGTAGTGATTGTGTTTTTCAGCAATAGTGTGCAACCTTAATTTACAGAGAAAAGAAGGTCAGGTAAAAATATGTAGATGGAAAAAATCCATAAAAGTGCATTTTTCTTTTTTTTTGTACTTGTTACTTTGCACTTTTTGTTAGAAATGTTTATTTACTATTTATTCAAGTTTAAGGTATCTAATATTTTGATACTTAATTTCCATGATCTATATATTCTTAAAAATGAAAAGTTTGTTGTCATTTGGAAGTGTGTAGGCCTTCTTGCATTATTATGCTGTTACATTATGATTATATATTCAGTGGCATAAAATGGTCTTTCAAAAATGATAATAATATCGCTTATCGCAATTATTTCTGGGGCAATATATCGCACAACAAAAAGTTGTTATCGTGACAGGCCTACATGCATGTATACATTTCAGAAAAATGTGTTATGTTTATATTAGTGGTGTCAAAATTAGCATGTTAACGCAGGTGATTAATTTTTTCAGAGTAACGCGTTAAAAATATTTAACGCAATTAGCGCAGGGACGGGGCTAGGGTTGGCCACCCCACTCACAACTGCTGCTTCTGTCACTTTCTCTCTTGACAAGAAGTGCATTTATTCAGTCACAGAACGACTGAGAACGGGAGATGTTTCAGATGCGCGCTCCACTTCGCTTTAGTGCCAGGCGCGAGTCAAGAGAGCGCAGAAACGGTACTGTGCTAGCAGCGCGTGCTCTTCAATTGCACGCACAAAGGCGCCGGCGTGCACTATAGCCTGTATCTTTTCATATCAAAGCGCAAAATAAACTACGTGCATGCAATGTCGTGGTCAGTTAAGTCATGAAGTTACCAAAAAAGCGATTAAAGCTGCCTTAAAACTGTGCATGCATGTAATATATTTTATATTTAAGAACATGACTCTGAAATAGTTTTCAAAACTGTCCTGGAGCAGCCCAGCACTGTCTCACTCATGTTACACACCCGATTCAACTCGTCAGCTCATTAGTAGAGACTTTAAGACCTGAAGTGGGTGAGAAAAGGTAAAGAGAGTTAAGAGAAAATATGATGTGTGTCAGATCCGCGTCACGTTCAGCAGTGGCAGCTCTTAAAGTAAAATTAATCGCGATTAAATTCAGAAAAATGTGCAGTTAATTAGTTATTTTTTTTTAATCGATTGACAGCACTAGTTTATATATTAAATATATTTATTTATAATATAAATTATATGAATATAAATATAGACATGTAAATATTTTAGAAATATGTACTGCATGTGTGTGTATTTATATATACATACTAAATATACACAGTACACACACATATATTATGCAAACAAAAACTTTTATTTTGGATGCGATTAATCACGATTAATCGTTTGACATCACTAATATATGTATGTATGTATGTATGTATGTATGTATGTATATATATATATATATATATATATATATGTGTGTGTATATATTTGTGTGTGTATTTAAACAACAAAAGTAATTCATTTTAACAATTAAATATGCTCCGATAATAATATTTAAGGTCACGTGGTGCATGCATAAATGATTAGAATTAAATAATAATTTGAAATAAACTGCATTGCATTTCCAGTTAATCTTTTTATTTTAACAGGTTTAAGATACGTTTTTTAACCAATTTTAACCTAATTAGAGTTTTCCTTTTTATGGAATATTGCAGTATTTATTATAAATATTTCCAATCCAATGATCCAATCAATTATAGATGAGCAAAATGAATTCCCATCCTACATTTTTCCCCCCATTTGAGAAACCATTTTACTGTTGTTTACTGTTTTATATGTTGTAAATTTGGGAAAAAGGGAAGAAAATATTGTGACTTTGCCTTCGACTTTTTTTTTTTTCAGAAATACATTTTTTCTGTAGTTATTTGGTATTTTGATTCTTATACGAACTTAAAAATGATTACATTTTTTTTATTTGTATTAAATTCTTTCTCTTATCCCAAATTAATGCAGTGAAATAACTATGTGTAAACCATTCCTAAAAAGTGCACAGTACTGTGGCACAGAAAAAATTCTGTTTGTTTGATCGTCTAAACCAGTGACATACCAGTAATGGCTCAACCAGTGGTGTGGAACTCTCTGTTTGTTTGACCGTTCGCAGATGTTCCTGTGTGCACTGGGCTCTAAATGATGGTGAAACGGCTCTAGCTCCAGTAACGCAGATCCAGCTGCTCTCCTCCCTCAGCTCCATCTCCCAGTGGAGCGCAGTGAAATGCCTCAGGCTCTGAATGACTTTACCTTCCTCATAGCCTTAAACCGGCAGAGAGAAATATTTCCTTCTGTGTTAAGGGTTAATACTGCCTTTCATCACACAGTCAGCAGAGCAGAAGAGTTCTTCAAGCAACAATTGCCCTTTTATAATCTATATGAAATAAATAGTTGAATTCCTTAGAATAAAATTGGATCATTTTTCTTTGTTTTTAATAGTAAATGTTGGTTTTTAGTTCTTTTAAGCAATTCATTTTTAGGTACAGTTTATGCATCCACAAAATAAATGTCAATCATTATTAAATGATGATCAAATTCAACATGAAGTGTGTCCAAACGTTTGACTGTCATCATTTTACATGTTATAGCTGAGGCAGTGGAGTTTAGATTTGTAGTGTTAGTTTTCAATTTCATGTGAAATGTTTGTTCGTGTTTTAAATGGGGTTTTTGCAGCCAGATAAACTGTCAGCCCACATGTTATGTTTGACATGTTGATGTTTGTGATGTTTTATTAATGTGAATTATAAAGAATCATTAGTACAGTAGTTCTCTCTCTCTGTGTTTTTAGCTGGAGGCAGAGGCAGTCCCGGAGGTTTCTGAGAAGTATGAGATCACTTCAGTTCCCACCTTCCTCTTCTTCAAGGTAAAACTTCCACATTTGACTTCAGCTATGCTCAGATTTACCTAAAATTCTAGTAAAAATATATGTGTTTTTTTTACATAATAAAGGCAATGTTGTTACTTTTTACAGAGTGGGAGGTTAGTTCAATCACAAATAGGAAAAATAGATATATATGACTCAACATGATTTAAACCTTTTAAAAGTTTGGGACAGATAAGGCTTTTTAAATGTTTTTGAAAGAAGTGTCCTGTGCTCACAAAAACTGAGTTTATTTGATCATAAATACAGTGAAACTGAACTATTGTGAAATATTACCACAATAAAAAAAAAAAAAAAAAGGTTTCTATTTGAATATAATTTAAAATGTAATTTATTCTTGTGATGCAAAGCTGAATTTTCAGCATCATAGCACCAGTCTTCAGTGTCACATGATCCTTCAGAAATCATTCTAATATGCTGATTTGCTGCTAAGGAAACATTTCTTCTTATTATTATTAATGTTGAAAACAGTTGTGCTACTTAAAACCATGATACTTTTTTTCATTTGTATTTTTTGACAAGTAGAAGGTTAGAAAAGAACACCACTGAAGTTTAAATCTTTTGATCATTTTAATGCAATTGGATAGATAGTGTATTTTTACCTTGGGCAATTTCATTTTCTTGCTCTGATTTTCTTGCAGAATGTTACGTTCAATAGACGATAAACTATCTACAGCATTAGTGGCATAATTTTAATTAACACAAAAAAATAATTTGACTCTCTGAGGTTTTATAAGCAGAAATGTGAAGCATATTTTAGAAGTAATTGCATGAATTATTTAGCTAAGCATTTACTTGTTTTATTAATTTGTACTTTTTACTATTTTGCTATTACTCAGAAATAAACCTCGTTACAGAAGTAACATTCAAAGAGCGAACTTGAATCATGAAATGGCTTTCACAAAACATTCAAAGTGACTTATGTACAAATGAAACTATTTTGTATATAAAAATGGTGAATTGTATAACTTATATATAGCTTTATAATTGATTATTATAATTTGAATTTGATCGGATTGTGAATGTTAGGTTATAATATCATTGGTTAGTATTAGTTTTCCCCGCCCACACAGCCTTAATTACATCAGCAGAAAAGTTGTTTCAGAGGCAGAAAAAGTTAAAACATTTGAATAAAAGATTGTGAAAATAAAAGCGTACTTTGTTTTAGAATAATGTGCACTTAAGAACCGTGCAGAATACATTTAAGACCAGCAAAATGTATTAAAAAGTTATTGAGTCCGTTTTAATTTCCCATTTTCTCCTTTTTATATAGTATGAAGTTCACTACTACACTGTGTTCTTTATGTTTCGTAAAGCATGCTGATCTATGCCAGATTGCGTTTTTCTGTACACACTTTTTATTTATGTTAGGTGTGCTGCGATAGTGTTTTGTGTTTATTTAGCAGAGGGAGGCGAGGTTAGAAAAAGTCTTTTGGGAAGGTTGAGTTTAACGATCAAGTAATGTGAGCTGCAAAATCTCCTCGTGTTAGAATCAAGCAACTGAGAAATAATCGGAGGTTAAACAAACACACGGCTTGGCAAGACTTTCCCTCTCTCGGCGTAACATGTCAAAGAACCAGGAGAGCCTGCGGCCTGTTTTCTCTCTCTCCCTGCAAACAATCTAAACAAACTGGCAAGCATCCTAAAAAATTAATGCTGTTTTTTTCCTCCCTCTCAATCTATCACTACTCACACTTGAGTGTTTTTATTTATTTATTTGTTTACCGACAACCCTTAGGGCGGTGAGAAGATTGACAGGTTGGATGGTGCGCATGCCCCTGAGCTGACCAATAAGGTGCAGCGGCTGGGGTCCGGTGGGGGCGGGGCTGCCAGGGCGGGGGACGTCCCTAAAGAGGATCTCAACGAGAGACTGAAGAGGCTGATCAACGCCGCACCCTGCATGCTCTTCATGAAGGGATCGCCCCAGGAGCCTCGCTGTGGTAAACACACACGTATACACTCACTCGCATAAATTAGGGTGAGAATGTAGTTGTTTAAAACTCAAATCATCAAATCTTTATTTATAAAGACAGCGCCTATTTGAAAATGTGCTTCGCTGATTTCGGAGACGTGAGCTCCACGCGATCAGCGGGCGCACAGTGCTCCTGTATCTCAACGAGAGCAGCCTCAGCTCAGCTAGTCCTTCTGACATTTGCCGCTGGCTCTGATGACTCTGTGGTTAAGCGTAAGATGTAATTCGTTTTGGGTAAATCTAACAGGTAATCTTTGGTCTTTATTTTATTCATCTATTAATATGTTAAAATGAAAATTAAAAGAATTCTGTTTGATATAATATTTAGTTTCATTGTAATGTATGTACGTTCCCTGAACTACATTTCTGCGGCTATTAATATGTTTAAATGAAACCGAAAAGGGGCAGTGGTGTTTGATATCATATTTCATCTTATTGTAAATACAGTGAGGAAAATTGCAGTAGCCAAGGTGAGCTGACTGACGTTATCAAGTACGCTGCTGTTTGCAGAATTACCGGACTTGTGAAGTCCCGTCCGCGGGAGTGTGTCGAACTTGCGAAGTCTGAATTACTGAGGATGCAAGTCCAAAATTTGCGTACTTTGTATTGAGAAACGCACGCAGACCTACGTCACCAGACTATTTGCCTAATCTTCTCTGTACTTTAGACCTCGATGGGAACGCAGACAGCAACAGGTCAGGAGAAAAAAAAGTTCCTGGGACAAATTGTTCCAGGCAATTTCGGTGGATAAGGAGTTAAAGATGCTGTGGCACAATGCAGCGTGCGTTCAGTTACATTTTTGTCATGTTGCATCACTACTTTCACAACTTTATGCATGTTTTGTGTTGTGTGTATGGCAGGGATTCCCAAACTTATTTATTTTGAAAAGACCAGCTGAGATTTTAAGTTAATATTTTAATAGTTTAATGCACATTTGCATGTTCGTGGTTCTCTGATGTTATTTAATGGTCACATGACATGCAGGTAAACAAATAAATCAAAAAATAAATAAAATATTAAATTTACATTCATCCTTTTTTTTATCCAAAGTGACTTGCATTCAAGGTATACATTTTATGAGTTCATTAATTCCCTGGGAATCGAACTCATGACCTTGTCGTTGCTAACACCATGCTCTGGTTGAGCTGCACCACATTTATTCATTTATTGACAAATTTTTATTATTTAATTATTAGCTTTTCTGCAACTTAAAAGCACTTTTTTGGAAGTTTAGTTGGGTAAACCTCTATAGCGGTGAACGGAAACTACAACAAATGTAATTGTGTTCCCATTCTCTCTAATAGCAATAGAAAAAAAATCCAGCCATTGCATTAGAAACACACACTCAGTGGAACTAGTTTTCTTTAAATTAATGTATAATACAAAGTAGGGATGTGCAATTAATCTCATGCGATTGTCATGCGCATCTCATCAGTAAAGCCGGTTCCGTGATTAGTAGTAAATCACAATCACCTGCTTTCAGATGGAGCATTTTAGCTGGTAGTCATCCATATAAACAGAACTGCTATTTAAAATTCAGAAATCAGGAAATTTTGTTCCAGCTTTCTGTCGTGTTGCCCAATATTGCGTAGTATCTATAAATGGACAAATGAGTAATTATGATTGCAGATTTTACTTGAAATGTTACTCATTGTGTGACTAAAAACAGAGAAAAAAATAATAAACAACTTTTGTTGTCAGTGTAGCAGGGTGATTAAACTTAAACTAAAACCATAAAAAAATGTTAATTGGAAAATATATATATATATATTTAAAAAAAACTTTTATTTCAGCTACTTGCCAAGACAACATTTCTTATAGTAATTTAGTTTAACATGAGGTACTATAATAATAATAATAATAATAATAATTATTATTATTATTATTATTAATAACAATTAATACTATAATACAATACTATACAAACCAAAAAAATGTAAAATGGACAAAAAGCACAACATAACTAAAACTTTAACTGATATTAAAATAAAAATTGTAATATACACTAGTCAACATTTGAAGTGGATCAAAACCTGAAATTTGAAGTGAAACAAAACCTGAACCAAAAATGTTATGAACTTTTTTGATCCACTTCAAATGCTAACTACTGTGTGTGTATATATATATATATATATACCAAACTTTAAAACAAGTGCAAGCAAACACCAAACAAAGTAGACTAATTAAAAAAATTGCAATGATAAATGGCACTTTTTGTTGTTGTAGTGACATTAAAAATATGAATAGGTTTATTTACTTTATTAGTTTTATAAAAGAAAAAAAATGTAATAGTTTTATAAAAGAATTTCAGTTTCTTCCTTTAAAGCTATTAAAAAGCACACAAGCAAACTAAACAGTGAACTTTTAGTTTAATAATAAAATACATTAATTTAAAATTTGCAGTGACAAATGAAAACATTTGTTGTGATTGTATTGACATTAAATATATAATATAGTTAATAATTTAATTAAACATTTGTAGTTTCTTCAGAGCCATTAAATAAGTGCAAGTTAATAAAAAGCACACATACTAAACAGAGTTACTGCTGTAATGATATTCTTTTTAACCTTAACCTAACGCATTTTTTGTTGCGTTATTTGCAGGTTTTAGTCGTCAGACTGTTCAGATTTTGAAGGACCACAATGTACAGTACAGCAGTTTTGACATTCTCTCGGATGAAGAGGTCAGACAGGGAATCAAGACCTACTCCAACTGGCCCACTTATCCGCAAGTCTACGTCAACGGAGAACTCATCGGAGGACTGGACATCGTAAAGGTACGAGATACAAGAAGAAACTTTAACAATATTGATCGCGTTCAATGAAAATCGGTGCATAGCAGTGTTTTTTTTTGTTTTTAGATATTTCCCTATTTTTCCAAACACAGATTTCTTCATCGCTTGATCTTGTGCATTTTATCCCATGCGTATTATCGTAAGAGTTCATGTTTCAGGACTTTTGACGGCGTGTGTGTTCTCAGCTAGCTGTTATAATTTCTTCATCGCTTGATCTTGTGCATTTTATCCCATGTGTAGCATTTGGACCAATCAGACACACAACTTTTTGTTATATTTAACAAATAATATCGAACTCCCCATCACCTAACCAAATGGGTGTGTGTTCTCAGCTAGCTGTTATTAGCTGTATGTTGCTCTACATTCCCAGCGAGCTCATACTGCTTAAAGCAAGCAGAGCACTCCTGCTGAGAGAGGAGGGCTAGATTAGCCAGCATCCATCCTCTTCCCCCTCTCTCTCTTCTCTCAAGAGTCTTAGAGGCCCTTCCTCATTAAGATAGTGAATTTACCTTTACAGCAAGGTAAAACATCTCAGCAGGGAGCTGTTAGTTATGAAAGTAGAGTATGTATGTGTGAGTCGAGTTCAAAGCGAATTCGGATTCAGAGATATTTTATATCCTCCACAGGAGCTGGTTGAATCGGGAGAACTTGAGAATACTTTCCCCAAAAGCGTCTCACTGGAAAACAGGTAAAGACAGATACACGCTCGCTCAAACTCCCCCTCTGTACGACTGGACTTTTCTAAACATTCTCTCTTCTGACAGGCTGAAATCTCTAATCAGTAAATCACCCGTCATGCTCTTCATGAAAGGCAATAAAGAGGTGAGTGAACTTAAATACTCTTTTTCTCTCTCATGTTTGTTTTTTTTTCTTCTCCTGAAACGCAGTTTAAAAGAGTGAGGAGAAAGCAGGGGATGTTAAAGGGATAAATCACCCCCAAAAATGCTGTTTTATTTATTCAACCTCATGTTATTACAAATCCATATGCTGTTATTTTTTCTAACGGAGCACTTTTTCATTCAATAACTTCATAGTGACCATGTCTGTCTTGCTCCAAACATACAGAATTTCTTTTTTTTATTTCAAGTCAGCTTTGTTTGTAAAGAACAGACCCAATTTTAAAGAGTCGCTTCTCAGTTTTAGTTAAAGGGGTCATATGATGTTGCTAAAAAGAACATTATTTAGTGTATTTGGTGTAATGAAATGTGTTTATGCAGTTTAAGGTTAAAAAAACCACATTATTTTCCACATACTGTACATTATTGTTTCTCCTCTATGCCCCACCTTTCTGGAACGCGTCGATTTTTACAAAGCTCATCGGTCTGAAAAGCGAGGTGTGCTCTGATTGACCAGCTATCCAGTGCGTTGTGATTGGCCGAATGTCTTTTTACGCGTTGCATTGCATCGCGCCGCGTAAACTTAAAACCATGTCTGCATTTGTGATCGGAGAAATGACAAACTACATACAAACACTGCTCAAAACTCGTGTTTTGAATCATCAGTGGCAAATTCTTTATATATAAAAAAAACTTACTTACAGTCTGTGAGTCAGAACTGCCGGCATTGTAGTCTACTCTACCAGGATCAGGAAACAGCCCTCCATAAAATGCGCTGCTCTCATCTGAATATTTGGGTTGAAGTGTTCTGGAACAGTGTTGTAAATACAACTTAACCACTGATTTGTAGTCGTGTCCTCTTTTGGAAGGCCAAGCAAAGTAGTTTCGCTTTCACAATGAAACATAGTGTCACACACGGCGAGCTAGAGTGAGCGGAGGCCGGCTTGAGTGAGCGGCGGCGGGCGGGCTTGTGGCAACCACATGTGACGACTTCGGGCTGGACTCCGCTTCGTCCACGGTGAAAGCCAATCCGGCAATTGACAGTGCGAAGTTGATGTATTTCCTCAGCGACCAGCATGGATCAGAAAGGAAAAATTTAAATCGCATCATATGACCCCTTTAATCTAAGTAGTTTAATCTAAGCAGCATGGCTGGTTAGCATGGGTCAACTAGCTGGTAGATGTCTTAAAGGGGTCATATGATGCAATTTCAATTTTTCCTTTCTCTTTGGAGTGTTACACGCTCTTGGTGCATAAAGAAGATCTGTAAAGTTGCAAAGACTAAAGTCTCAAATCCAAAGAGATAATCATCACAGTATGGTAGGGGAGTAACATTTCCGTCTCACGCTTGAGGTATTCGGCCAATCACAATGCACTGGATAGCTGGCCAATCACAGCACACCTCGCTTTTTCAGACCGATGAGCTTTGTAAAACTCGATGTGTTTCAAAAAGTGGGAGCATAGAGGAGAAACAATAATGTACAGTATGTGGAAAATAATGTGTTTTTTTTACTTTAAACTGCATAAACACATTTCATTACACCAAATACACCAAATAATGTTCTTTTTAGCAGCATCATATGACCCCTTTAACTACACCATTCAGCTGACAAAAATCATTCGTTCTTCTTTATACATTGAAAGCCATCCAAAAGTAACAATATGTTCAACTAAATTAAAGATTTATTTTATTTGCATTTATTTAGCAAATATCATATACATTTTTATTATTATTATTATTATTATTATTATTCAGTGTTATTTTAGTTTTATGTTTTTTATTAATATTTTATATATTTTATTTTAATATTTTGGATTAGCTTTTATTTTTATAAATTGAGTTTTCATTCAAATTTGTTTAATCTTTTATATACTTTTTAGTTTTATTGTAGTGATTTTTAGTGCTTCAACTAGTTGCCAAACCGACTTTTTTTTTTCAGCTGATAATAACAGCACTGTTATTGTTATAAGAATAATTTAATATAAATTTTAAAATGATTAATGTAAAATAATTTATTTTAAACCATTATAAAGTAACACTGCATGAACATTTTGCTAAATTTCTTCATTTGTTTTCCACTGAAGAGAACATGTAATAATTTGATTGTTTCATAGTATATGTATTGATAAATTATTATAATTTTTAAATATTATTTTAGAAAAGGATGAAGTAATATTGCTGTGCAAAAGTCTGCCTTTGTGTTCCACTGAAGAAGAAAAAGTCATGTGGGTTTGAAATGACATAAAGGTGAGTAAATAATTACAGAAAGATCTTTTTTGAGTCAACTTTTCCTTTTAACGTACAGTAAAAGAAACCATGCAGTGGTTAAACGCTGCTGGAAATCGATGTCAGGGGGCTCCGGCACTGATAGAGCTGCGTTCTCTTTCTTTAATGGAGGAGAAAGACCCCTCACCTCTCTCCTCATAACTGTATTGATCTTTAACACTCACACATGAAAGACATTCTTTGCAGTAGTTTAAAGTCTTTCCCCTCGAGACTGACTGGCTTCTCTCTGTGTCTCTCGATTTTATTACCTCCTCTTTTTCCCTTAGTTATTGAGACACACTTCAGAATATCCTTTGTAGGTGGTTGTAGTTGTAAGTTTCTAAATGCAAGTTTGGTTCTGTGCTGGTTTGGGCCCAGAGGAGCCGCTCGTATCTTATTTACTCTGTTCTTTGAGCTTCTCCAGTAGTCTGCGTGTGTTTTGGTGGAGTTAAAACTTGCTTCCTCTGATTGGCTTTCAAGCGCAGGGTTTCGCTTCACTGCAGCCTTTCATGATGTGGAAGATGTTCTAGCGTTTTCACCCTCTTAACTCGTGTCTTTGTGAATACTCAGGCTGCCAAATGTGGATTCAGCCGTCAGATACTTGAAATAATGAACAGCACGGGGTGAGAGACTTTTACGATTCTACACGTACAGTGTCATTTAAGCTCTTTTTGGAGAACGTTCTTAACGTGAGTTATGAATAACTGAAAGACTAAATGTATGTTATTAAAGTAACATGTGTTTCGTTAACATTTCAGAGTTGAGTACGGAACGTTTGACATATTGGGAGATGAAGAGGTGAGAGTTGCTTCAGTTTTAAGTTCCAAAACCTAGTGAGCTCCTTACAAACTGAGAACTGAATAATTAAATAACAATTAAGCAATCATGTTTAGAATGCAATTTTATTTTTACTAAATGAATGTCCCTAAATAAATTCTGTTTCTGTGTTTTTAGCCAAAACATGCACTTCTGATTGTTTCCACAGGTTAGACAAGGACTCAAGACGTACTCCAACTGGCCGACGTACCCACAGCTGTATGTTAAAGGGGAACTAATCGGAGGCCTGGACATAGTCAAGGTGAAATGCATAAAAGTGTTTAACATGAATCCTCTTACTAAGATGATAAAGATACATTTAGAGTTTGGCACTACAAACAGCATTGCATTTATAATGCTTCATTTGTAACGAATGTAAATAATTCTAGACTTCAGGAAAATAGTCATTATTAAAACAATGAGCCTCAAGAAGCCGTGGTTTACAGTGAGTTTATAACAGCTAAGGGGCGTTTTTAGGCACGACGCGAAGCCCCCTTAGCTGTTATAAATTCACTGTAAACCACGGCTTCTTGGGGCTCATTGCTTTAATAAAACGGTTATTGCATATACGTAGTAAGGTTTCACAGAATAAAACAGAGCAAATAAAGTGTAATGATATAAATAAATAGAGTATTCTTCCACCAAACAATGTAGTTCCTCAGAAACGGTTATGGTTCCAACAAAGTGGTTTCCGAGCACACAGAAGTAAACAAAGGTGTGTGTTTGTAGTGTAATTTACAACAGCTTCAAACGCGGCTCAACCAATCAGAATCAAGGACCGGAACTCTCTGTTTTATAAAGTGTTTTTTCAGATTGCTTTCATTGGTAAAGAGATTTAAAGGCACAATATGTAAGATTTGTTTTATTAAAATATCCAAAAACCACTAGAACAGTGTTATATATTTTGCTGGCTTGTGTACTTACATTATCCCAAATGTTTCGAAGAATGTTTAAATCCAGAGAAATAAGCTATTTTAACTAGTGACACGGACCATCTTTGTGTCGCCTGCCAATGACGTCATAACCAGGGTTTGAAATTAACACCCGCCAAATGCGGGTAAAAATCAGCTGTGGTGGGTAACGCTGTCAAATCACTAGCCAGTTTGGTGGGTTACTTTTCGTAAGTTATGTTCACTCATTAATTTCTTTGGGAAGTTCATGCAAGCCAAATCTGCGCAGGTTTAGCGCAAATACTGAACTCGTGAGACATCATGACATTATCGAGTAGCCTATATTGCAAAAACCAAACAAAACACACCTAAGTTAAAAAGTGCGCGCATACGTGACGTGATGTAGTCTGGTTAGACTAACTTTGTGCTGTGCGCATTTAGAGTGCATTCTTTCATTGCATGAGTCAGTCTGTTAATATGCATTACGAATGATCACATAATTCAAGATAAGGGGGTTGGAAAATGTATATATGTATATCAATTCATATAGTTAATATCACACGAAGAGTGCCGTTTTAAAAAAAAAAAATCAGCATGTGACAAACGTGATATTGATTTTATACAACAGTTCAATAAACAATAATTTAATATCAAGAGACACCATATTGGCTGTTTTTGCGTTATTTCGCCAACAGAAAACATTCCAAACACAGCGCTGTTTTGCATCTCTGAGCAAAATCAACCGTTTAAATGATTCGGTTCATTCGCAATGACTCACTTAACAGTGTCTTGCTGCCATCTACTGGCGGATTTAATTTCACATTTAAAGTATCTTTTAATTTTTTAAATAATTTAAATATCACTATTCAACATTTCATGTTTAAAACATCAAAACATTATTTATGCATTTGTAACTGCAGGTTAAAGCATCCCATGTCCCTCTAAGCTGCATTAACATGTGTAAATACATCTAAATGCCACTTCATATTCAACTTCTGCAAAGATTAATTTTATTGATACTGATTTCATTTGTTTAGTAACAGCCTAAATGTAGTATTGTTATAATTGCCTGATTAAATGTAAGAAATTGACTCAAAAGATGATGCACACTTTTAGTAAAAATGGCTTTATAAAGGTAAAAATAAATCTAAACTTATTGGAAAATATTAATTTCTATCACTGCTGTGAACTGACCACACAGAATATGAAGAATATCAAAAACTTTAGGAGTCAGCTGTCCACGGTATCCTTAAGATATCAGCACAATAACACACTCAGCAAAATATTGTCTAATTATCTTTATCAATAAAATCCCAGAAAATATTGAGATTTTTTTTTTTGTCAATATCGCACACCCTTAGTACCGACACAAAATGATTTGCAACAGTCGCTTTGTCATGTAGACAGCCTCAAGCTGTTGGTTTATTTCTTTATTTTTTTGGCTGGTAGAAGTTATGAATGGCCAGTAACTTAAAAATGTAGTAGCCAAATTGGCTGGTGAGTAAAAAAGTTAATTTCAATCCCTGGTCATGACCCCTCGATTTCCGGTTTTGTTTTGTAGAAAACATGTAAACACCAAAGACGCTTTAATATGTGGTGCGGTTTAATAGACCGGTGACGACCGCACAGAGTAGCATTATAACAGAACTTTCAAATGTATCTAGTATGATAAAACAGCGCTGCTTTACCCCACATACTCACGACCGTAAGGAGCGGAAGCGGTCGACTGTGGCGTAATAAAAGCGCCGCTGCTTTCTAGCAGTGTGTCACGCTCTTTCAGCGGCCTCGTTTCACTTCGAGGACTTTCAGCCTCACCCTGCTTCATACTACGACGTTAATAAATCATTAGCTCATCCATAAACATGATTTCTGCCCGAGTCCCGTCGGATTGCATCGGCTGTGAGGATGAAGACTACAACTCCCATGATTCCACACTCAGTCACGGCATCATCAAACTACGCCTTTGTCTATTTGTTTATTTTGAATACGCACCCTCCAGTGGCGAAGATTACGTATTGTGCCTTTAAAGAGCAAATCTAAATCTGATATACACTACCATTCAAAAGTTTGGGGTCGATATGTTTTTTAAATAAACATGCTCTGCAAGAGTTAATTTCAATCCCTGGTCATGACCCCTCGATTTCCGGTTTTGTTTTGTAGAAAACATGTAAACACCAAAGACGCTTTAATATGTGGTGCGGTTTAATAGACCGGTGACGACCGCACAGAGTAGCATTATAACAGAACTTTCAAATGTATCTAGTATGATAAAACAGCGCTGCTTTACCCCACATACTCACGACCGTAAGGAGCGGAAGCGGTCGACTGTGGCGTAATAAAAGCGCCGCTGCTTTCTAGCAGTGTGTCACGCTCTTTCAGCGGCCTCGTTTCACTTCGAGGACTTTCAGCCTCACCCTGCTTCATACTACGACGTTAATAAATCATTAGCTCATCCATAAACATGATTTCTGCCCGAGTCCCGTCGGATTGCATCGGCTGTGAGGATGAAGACTACAACTCCCATGATTCCACACTCAGTCACGGCATCATCAAACTACGCCTTTGTCTATTTGTTTATTTTGAATACGCACCCTCCAGTGGCGAAGATTACGTATTGTGCCTTTAAAGAGCAAATCTAAATCTGATATACACTACCATTCAAAAGTTTGGGGTCGATATGTTTTTTAAATAAACATGCTCTGCAAGGTTGCATTTATTTGATCAAAAATACAGTAAAATAATAGTGTTTTCTGTTTGAATATTTATTAAAATGTAATTTATTCTTGTGATGGCAAAGCTGAATTTTCAGCAGCCAGGGGTGAAAAGTGTTGAAAACAGTTCTGCTGCCTAATATTTTCTGTGGAAACCATGATGCAAGATATTTTGATGAATAGAAAGTTCAGTAAAACCTCATTTATTTGAAATGGAAAACTTTTGTAACATTATATATGGCTTTACTGTCACTTGTGATCAATATAATGCATCCTTGCTGATTAAAAAAAACTTTTGAACTGCAGTGTAAGAGAGCTATATCATCTGCCTGTAGAGATGTACTGCAGTTGGTGTTTTACTCCAGCAGAGGGCAGATGCAGCTCTACAACTAACAGGCAGTATGAAGTGAGCCAGTGCTGTCAGAACCATCTCTGAACCTGAATGTACAAAAGATGAATTGTAGTTGATGAACTGTGAAGGTGTTTCATAATGGAAGGGGAATGTTTATATTGTTAAACAGGAGCTGAAAGAGAACGGCGAGCTGGCATCTGTGTTGAAAGGAGAAAACTAAACTACTCCAGCACTGAAGAACATGTGGATCACATTGCCGGGTTGCCTGTATCCTGCACACTTAACCTCAGGAATGGAGTACTCGGATTAGACTTATCCCATCCAATTTAGCGTTTTTTTTAGAAAATGACTACATTTCAAAAACATTGTCGATCCTCTGCTGTAAATCCAATAAAGCCAATTCTGTGATCTGTTTTTGTTGTACTGACATATTTTAGATCTTGTTTATACCTGGTACTTACATCCGTCTTTGGTGACCTGATTACAAGTGGTCAACCGAGATTTAAAATGTACACTGGGTATTGACACATGTCTTAAATATGGCTGCTGTGACCACACATTTGTGCCCAATCAAATACTTTTAGAATGAGAATGCCCATCCCATTGCAACCAATTTCAATAAAAGTGGCATTGGGCAAAATCCAAGACTGATGCATGTATATGTATGGGCATTTTCTTATTAAATTGCAAGTAATTTATTGTGTTTATGCAATGACAGGTTAGTTGGGTAGGTGATCCTTTACTGTTTTCTGGGATGCTTCAGTATGCGTTTACCTTTATAAAAAAAAAATGTAAAGGTAATTTTTTATAAATGTATTTAACCTAAATTTAGCGCCGTCCATTTGTGATCGGGTATCCAGGATCAGATGTGTTTCATGTACACTTGGTCTTAATGTAAATCCTGTTTTTCTTTAATGTCTCTGTCAGTCAGAGCCAATGATTTGGCATGTTAAACCATCCTGTGTGAATCTGTGCCCTTATTAAAGAACTCCTCCAACTACCTTTAATTGCAGGTTGTTAGATTAGGCCAATTTATGCCGACTTTATTTGAGTTTTTATTCTGGATATGTGACCTCTTTAATGAGTGCGGGAATGATGGATGTACCATTCACGATCACGTCCACTCGCTTTAATTAATGTGATCCTTGAGCTTTTCAGTCGGAGTGACTCTGCGAAGCTCTTGGGTACAGGAAGAACTCTCTTATTGTGATTAAAGATCCATAAATATTAATCAGCAGTTGTTGGTTGGGGGGAAATCGACCCACACCTCATCTGGCTTTGAGCCGAGAGTGTAGAGTGGCCATTATGTTCCTCTCTCACACACACACACACCTGTGGTTCTGGGTAATTGCTGCGCTCCCATAATAACCTGATGGTTGTGCTGAGGAAATCTTTGAAACCTTTCAACACATCTCCCCACAATAGCACACTCAAATATGCCTTGATGCATGAATTGAAACATGTGGCAACCACTGTTCATTGGCATGCGAAACACAGTTTCATCACACTTCCTTAAAGAGCGGGAACACATTGTGAAGGTTCACTTTGGCATAGCATCAGGATTAATAACAGTAGTAGATATCCAGTGGTGTTAAACATAGTAAATCGATTTAAGGTTTTAATTGTTTAAAATGAAGTCGGACACTTAATATCGTGGAATAAATTAAACAAACTCCTGTGCATAGTGTATATCTTCAGTGGTACTGGTAAATAATAATAAAAAATATATATTTATTTTGTGCTAAACCTTTCAACACATCTCCCCACAATAGCACACTCAAATATGCCTTGATGCATGAATTGAAACGTGGCAACCACTGTTCATTGGCATGCGAAACACAGTTTCATCACACTTCCTTAAAGAGCGGGAACACATTGTGAAGGTTCACTTTGGCATAGCATCAGGATTAATAACAGTAGTAGATATCCAGTGGTGTTAAACATAGTAAATCGATTTAAGGTTTTAATTGTTTAAAATGAAGTCGGACACTTAATATCGTGGAATAAATTAAACAAACTCCTGTGCATAGTGTATATCTTCAGTGGTACTGGTAAATAATAATAAAAAATATATATTTATTTTGTGCACTCTGCACTGTGAGTTACGCATATGCAGTTATTTTCTTAAACCTTAATTTTCAGAGTATACAATGTGTATTATGATATTATATAAGCCAGTTAAAAATGCCTTCGAGGAACCTTCTGAGAAAGCTGCACTGTTGCTTTAAGTATTTGCCATGTCTTGAGTATAAAAGGTAATATTTTAAAGAGCTCAATGTTGAAACACATGCAATAAAGACTTTTGTGCACAAATCTACATTTCTAATGTATCTGCCAGGGTGGTCTAAATAAATTATGTATATGGTGCATGTCATTAGTAGTGCAAGTATAAAATAGATTAGTGGTTACATAAAATAAGCTTAGCATTACACTGAGAGTGTGGTTATTAATCTGGTGACCTGCTTAGCATGTGCTCTGCAAAGTGCAATCTCTTGCACTAATGACTTTCAAAATATCACTATATATATATATATATATATATATATATATTCTCACACATTTTCGGGTAGCCACAAAAACATGCTTTGTGGTGCAGGCCTTATGGTGTGTGTAACGGCTGCAAATGGATGAGACAGGTGATTGTATTTAATGACTTATTGGCAGATTCAGTCATCAAATATCCAGCCAAGTGTTCACAGGTGAACAGTATTTTATGTAATTAGACATGTCAGCTGATTGGATAAACAGGCGTATAAAAGACAAATGCCTGGTTCAGAGTGTATGCACAGATGTGTAGTTGTTCTTGAAGCAGTTCTGGTTTGGTGTAATAGAGTCTCTCTTTTTTTTTTTCTTTCTGTCTTTCAACAAAGCAGGGTTGTTAATGTTTTTTTCTGTTATGGGTTGGAAACGGTTAGTTAATTTTAAATCCTATTGCCGTGTTATCAGTTGCATGTATTATGCAGAGTTTTTATCTTTTTTATTTTATTTTATTTTTTTCTCTTTCTCTAGGGTCCACCGCTTGGTTATCCTCTTGATTTTCTTGAAACATGCTGTTGGTCATGAAGGTGAGCATGGTACTGTGTATGGGTTTTTATTTTAAATGGTTCCTGCACTCTTTATTCATTGTGCTTATGTTCTCTAGGTTCGTTTTCTCAGAATGTTCAGCTTCAAGAGAATTGGCCTGTCCACAAACGCTCTTCCCCTAGGGTAATCCAGTCTTCTGTGTTGGAGGCTCCAGTGACTGGAAGCATTCCTGTTGAAGAAGTGGCCCCTAATATGGTTCTTGGGAAAAGCCTGAATGCCAGCAGGTCTAGGTTTTCCCTTTCACGTCAGTATGTAAAAGGAGGCTTTTCCAGCAGCTATGAACCTATGTCTCGTAAACAAAGTGCACCAAGTTTCTCGGATGGCATTTCTTCAGTGCTTCAACTCCAGGGTTCCTCCAGTCCAAATACCCAGAATGTAGTCAGCCAGTCTGCTGATAGACGAGGTTCCTACAGCTGGTCTTCTCTCTCGTCTCTGAATGGCTCTGGACGGCAAGGAGATTCTGCTCAACTTGCTTCCACACCTGTACGCGGTGGTAGTTCCAGTGGCTTGTCCATCCTGTCTCCAAGCTCCTCTAGTCAGTCTACCCCTGATTCTTTGTCAAAGCTTAGTTTCTCACCTCTTGATGTTTCTGGCCTGCCCACCAGTAATCAAAGCCCCTCAAACATGTATACAGCAAGCTCTCAGAACAGCTCTGGCCCTCAGTTGGGAGGAACCTCTAGTCTCCTTTCTAAACCGGGTAGCTCTAACACAAGATCCTCAGGAAGTTCCCACCGTGTTTTTACTGCTACTTATCAGAGCAGCTCTGGGCCACAACTGGCAGGAGGTTCCAGCCAGCTTGTTTCTACAAGTGGTTTGCTCACCCAGCCTCCAAGTGCTGAGAGCCAGATTACCTCTGGATCCTCCTATGTCAAGATTGCTGCTTCACCCCTAGGTTTTAGTCAGGCTACCAGTGGTCAAAGCTCTTCCAGGCAGTATACATTAAGCCCCCAGAGCAGGGCTGGCAATCAGCTGGCAGCTTCCCGTCAATATGTACCAGGACAGGGAAGTAGTTATGGTTTGTCTGTCCAGCCTCAAGGCACCACCAGCCAGTACACTCCAGCTTTTTCCTTGGGTTCAAAACGTCCCATGTCCAGCCAGTACTCTCAAGCAACACTGAGTGGTTTGCTCTCTCCAAGCCAGTCATCTCTGTGGTGGCAGCCTTCAGTCACTAGAACCAAGGGTTTTCAAGCTGCTAGTACAGCAGTGTCACAAGGATCTGGTACATCACAGAGCAGCTCTTGGTTTCCCAGTAGGCTCTCTTCACTGTCCTCTGCAGGAGGTTACATCAGCTCTTCTGTGCAATCTCAAGGTACCTCTAGCCAGAATGCCCCGGTTCCTTTGGGTGCAAATGTGCCTGTGTACAGTCAAGCTGCTCCAAGTGGATCCTCGTCGTTTCTGAGCCAGCCATCCCAATTGCATCCTTCTGCCTCTAGATCACAAAGTTTCCAGACCTCTGGTATAGTTGCGTTACAGAGTAGCTCTCCGTCTCAAAGCATTAAGACTCCCAGTAGGTTCTCTATCTCGGCAGTAAGCCCTGGCCAACTTGCCTCCACACAAGAAGGAAGTGGCAGATATGTTGGCCTGTCTCAAAGTACCTCAAGTGATTATCGTCCTGGGTTATCTGGATATACGAAGCTTGCTGCCTCACCCCTAGGTGTTAGTCAGTCTGCCAGTGGACCGAGCTCTTACAGCCAGTATACATCAAGCTCCCAGAGCAGAGCTGGTACTCAGCTGGCAGGCTCTAGTCACTATGCACCTGTACAGACAGGAAGCACCTCTACTGATGGCTCATATCTGCGGCTGCAAGGTACCTCTAGCCAGTATGCCCCTTTGAATGCAAAAGTGTACAGTCTGGCTGCTCCAAGTGGACCCTTGTCTCCGAGCCAACCGTCTCAATGGCAGACTTCCTCTAAATGGTTGCAAGGTTTTCAGACCTCTGGTACAGTTGCATTACAGAGTGGTGCTCCATCTCAAGGCTTCAAGGCTCCGAGTAAGTTATCTACCCTTACCTCTGCAGCAAGTCCTGGCCAATTTGTCTCCAGGCAAGAAGGAAGTGGCAGATATAGTGGCTTGTCCAGCCTGTCTCAAAGTACCTCAAGTCAGTATAGTTCTGGGTCCCCTGTATATGCCAAACGTGGTTCCTCCATGCTGGATGATTCTAGACAATCTTCCAGTGGACCGAGCTCTTACAGCCAGTATACATCAAGTTCACAGAGCAAGGCTGGCACTCAGCTGGCAGGCTCTAGTCTTTATGTGCCTGTACAGTCAGTAAGCACCTTAACTGATGGTTCATCTCTCCACCTACAGGGTACCTCTACCCGGTATGTGC